ACTGAGAACCCTGTGGGCACAGTTCTCCTCTGACACACACGGGGGCACCATTCGTCAGAGTTTAGTGCCTTCCAAACTAGAGGGCTCTTCTTTTTTTGGGATCCGTAGGGTTTTCATTGGCTGATTTTTAAAGTAGATCACCAGGCCTTTCTTCCTAATCTCTCTTAAGCCGGAAGCTGTGCTGACACCTCTGGTGGTAGTAAGGGAAAGGACAGAGGAAAGCCCAGCATGCTGATGGGATCCCAAGCCCCGCTTCTGGCACGGCTGAGAGGCAGGTCCTGAGGTAGCCAGTGCACGCAGTAGGAGATCACCACTCACCATCCAGTTGGTCACCCAGCACTGTGGTGGTGTAGACCCACACATAGGGCTGCCAGATTTAGCAAATAAAAATATAGAACCCCTGTTATCTTTTAGAATAAACCACGCATTGTTTATTTGGAATTCAAATTCAACTGGGCATCCTGTATTTTTTCTGGACACCCCACAGAGTTAGAACGTATGATTATAAACAAACTTCAGCCAGGTCTCAGAAAGATCTGAAGCCCCAGAGGCAGACGTGGAGATGCTACCTGAGAGACCTGGGACACGGGTGCCTGAGGAGCAGGCAGCAGATGGGGGCAACATTGTAGTCCTAAGACCTGACTCTAGCCTGTCACTGGGAGGTATGTAGCCCCCTTCATCTCCCATTGTCCCCTACCAGAGGTATCCGTGCAGAGAGGATCAGAGAAGGGGGTTCTGGACAAACTTTTCCTGACAGAATATGCATTCCCCCAATTCTGTTCAAATTCTCCCTTGTTATTAAGTACTGTTGAGTTGGTTCTGATTCACAGTGACCCTGTATAGGGTTTCTGAGGAGCAGCTGGTGGATTTGAACCTTGTGATTTGTAGTCTGCTGCTGACCCTACAGCACCACACCAGGAAGTCCCAAATCCTCCCTTAGAGCTTTGTTTTCACCTGGCTCCAAAGGAAATGAGGACCATGGGTGGAGCAAATGATCAATACATTTGAAAGTTAGAGATTCAAGTCCACCCAGAGTCACCTCAGAAGAAAGGCCTGGTGATTTACTTCTGAAAAATCAACGCTTGAAGATTTGTGAAGCACAGTTGGACTCTGCACAGTTGGAGTTGGAATCGACTCTGTGGCTACCGGTGCTGGGAAGGAAGAAGAGTGTATGTGTGTTTGCAGTTCCTTATTATTATTTTTTTAACCTGGGAAGACCTGGTTCGAGGCAGGCCACCCAAGACAACATGTTCTGTGTTCAGCAGAGCACAGTGGAGGGAGTTTTGTGAGCCTGCTACTTTCTCTGATGGTCTGCTTCTGAGACAGTTTAGGAAACCTTTGGGGGAAGTTGTAATCTCCTAATGACTCAGAATAACCACCCTTTCTCATTGCTGTGGAGCCCCATAGCAGCCTGGAGAGGAGGGGGCTTTGCAAGATCTGCCCTTCTGCTGCTTGTGATCAAGGCCCTCTTCCCAGCTGCTTTGAGGCCTGGGCCCACATTCACCGCCTTCGGCATATTCCCCACCTTGGAGTTTATGGAAGCTTGGGGCCTTGTAAAGTTCAAAATCTGAAACAATAACAAGCAAGCCATTCAGAGTTTGCAGGTCACACCCAGGGCAGGAACTGCCAGAAGCAGGAAGTGGCCAGCGTGACCAGGGAGAGGACTGACAGGCCCCAGACAACCCACACTTTAGACTCTGCTCCTCAGGCCTCATCTTTTCTTCACACAGACCTCCACAGTCTCCTGCACTGGGAGCCCCTTCCAGCCTCCCTCCCTGAGACACATCTGGGGCCTGAAAGCTAGTGTTTAGTAGTGTTCAAAAATGTGGGCTTCTGTGGAATTCACCACCCTCCCTACAACCAGCCCAGTCTCTGGTTGGCTCATCTTTGCCTGTCATTGTTTTCTGGTGGCCCATTAGGCGGTTGTTGTTTGATTATTTTCTGAATGGGTTGCAATGCCTCTCTGGTTCCCTAAAAGATTAACATTGTAGAATGAACTCTTTAACATTTGCTCACACTGATATCTGTATGAGAATCATGATTTTATCTTTTGTAATAGGAGAAAATTATCTTTAATAGGGGTTAGACTGATTATCTTATTTACCTAAGCCCAAACCCTAACCAAGTCTGCTGCTGCGGAGTCCATTCCAACCTGTAGTTCCATAGAGTTTCTGAAGCTGTAACCACCTCAAGGTTGGCAGTTCAAACTCACCAACTGCTTCTCGGAAACCCTATACAGGTCATTATGAGTCAGAACCAACTCGACAGCATTTAACAATTCTTTTCGCGAAAGCAGAAAACAGACTGCTAAATCTTTCTCCCGCGGAGCGGCAAGGCAATGAGACTCCTTTTTAGTTACCCTGTTGTTGTTGTTGTTAGGTGCCATCGAGTCGGTACTGACTCATAGCGACCCTATGCACAGCAGAATGAAACACTGCCCGATCCTGGGCCAACCTCACTATTGTTGCCACGCTTGAGTCCATCGAAGCTGCCACCTGGCCAATCCATC